GTTAGCTCGTTAAACAACTACAATAAAGCCTCGTTCAGTTTGCATCAAAAAAAAAAAAAAAAAGTATCCTGTTCTGTGACCTGAGGACTGTATAGAAAGAGGGGCTGGTGGCATGATTTATGTTAGGCACTGAAAGACTGGCTGGGCCTCGGCACCTCTTAAACTTTCAATTTTCACCCACTCAATAGACCCTACAAAGAAACACATGGACAGCCTCCTGTCTCAGGAAAAGCTTCTGCTGTAGAGCTAACTGACCCTGTTTCTACCAGAGGGAGAGGCAAAGCGCACAGGCATGTCACAGAGTCATCTTTCTTCTCCTGAGTCTTAGTCTCCTCATCATAGGGGTGTGGAGTTCAGTCAGGGATGGGGGAGATTTGTGTGATCCTGAAACTCCAGGCTGCGCAAAAGATAGAAGAATCATTGGCAGCCTGGCAATAAGATAGGAGGTAGTGACTGAACATTTCCCTAAATTTCAAAACTTGTAGTACCATGTTTACTACTCTTGCCTGTGAATTTATGTACAATTTGTTATGGAGGTTTATTTATCAAGTGGTTTAATTAATATCTTGTCTTGGTTACTTTTCGATTGCTGTGCTGAGACACCATGACCAAGGCAACATAGGGAAGAGTTTAGTGAGGTGTAGAGTTTCAGAGTGTGAGGCCATGACTAGTGTGGTGGGGGCCATGGCAGCAAGTAGATATGCATGGCGTTGGGGCTGTAGCTGAGAGCACACATCCAGATCCCACAAGCACGGGCAGGGAGAAAACTGGGAATAGCGTGGGCTTTTGAAATCTCAAGTGACATACATCTGCCAACAAGGCCACATCTCCTATTCCTTCCCCAAAACAGTTCCACCAGCTAATGACCAAGCATCCCAATATATTATTAGCTTCCTGGGACCATTCTCACTTGAACCAGCACAATTCTTCCACTGTCACTTTAATGCTTTCTGTGTTTTTTTCCTACTTGTTGTACCAACACTTAATACAAGGTTGACACATAGTAGCTGCTTATTAATCTATTTTCTAATTAATAAACAAATCAGTCTTTAAAATACCCTCTGGTTGCTTTTTAACCATTTCTGGAAGGACATAAATACTGACAGCAGGCGGCAATGAATATGTGAGAGAATTTCAGGCTTTGGGATGGTGAAAGTTGAGAATTATGTAACTCTTCTACAAATGTGGATCTCGGTTTATTTCCTCAACTAACTCCTGACTAAGAGAATCACAAGCTGTGGCAGAAGTGGCTGGATAGATCTCAATTCAAATTCTGCTCCTTACAGCCTAGATCTTGTACAAACTCCCTAATTTTTCAAGCTTTGGCTACTTTTCCATACAATGAAAAAATTTTTTTGAGGAGGTAGAGGTTTCAAGACACGGTTTCTCTGTCTAGCTCTGGCTGTCCTAGAACTTTCTCTGTAGAGCAGGCATACCTCAAACTCACAGATATCTGCCTGCTTTTACCTCTCGAATGCTGGAATAAAAGGTGTATGCCACCACTGCTCTGCTTTTAAAATATAATAATAGGTTTTATTATAAGGATCTAATGAGGTAAGACTAGAATCTTATAGAGACATATAGGTATAATTTCAATGTTCATTTTAAAAGCCAGTGTGGTGGTGCATGCCTGCCTATATTCCTAGCACTTTGGAGATGGAAGCAGATGAATTAGGTGTTCAGGGCCAGCCTAGGTTACAGGAAAACCCTATCTTAAAATAGTGATTAAAAAAAAATCACTGTCAACAAAAATTACTTCCATATCAATATTAAGTACAGGAGTTGAAATAAAATAGATGGAGCTGGGAAAAATCAAGAAGACTATGGGGGGAGAAACCTGTATGTTCAAGCTCCATTCTTGTCTGAGAGAAATAGGTTTGAGATTAAGACCCTGACTTCCTTCTTGAAGAGACTGAAGAGAGCATGGCTTCATTTTTCTATGATGACCCATCCAAGGTTAAATCATGCCATCAAAAGGAGATATATTCTCTAATCAGAAAAACTCAGGACACCACAGAAGGAGTTTTCAGAGGAAATGATTATACGGTACGTGGCAGCTCGAGAGCACACACTCACATCTTCCACAGTAAACTCCTGTGCTGCTCCAGACAGTAAAGAGACCTTCTGCAAGGCACGTGTAACTTTTATAGTCCAAAATCCGCGATCGATTTTTCTCTCAAGAATTTCCAGTTCTAAATTAATTTTTAATAGACTGACCTACAGTGCCCAGCTATTTTTAGATAAAGCTGTCAGCTATCCCTTCACTTAAAAATATGCTGAGAGGCATAGAAAGTGGAGATATCACACTTCCAAAAGATGAAGGGGAAAAAGAAAGAAAGAAAGAAAGAAAGAAAGAAAGAAAGAAAGAAAGAAAGAAAGAAAGAAAGAAATATGCCCAGTGCTCTCTGGTGGACAAACCACCCTGAAGGGACACCAGGGGATCTTTGAAGGGTTGGCTCTGCCCAATTCCAGGGCCAGCCCTACCTGCAGGCAGATGGGCACACCAACAATAGCAGCCTAGAAAAGGACAACCTCCACTGGTTCCCATGACCCCCAAAGAGCACACATGCGCACTGGAATGTGTCGGGTATGAATTTGATCCTTTCACATTCAGAACCTGGCTTCCAGTCCTCCTCTTTAGCCCCTCAGTAGCTAGAGAGGGAGGTGAATGAGAAGGAGAATCCTGCTGAGCAGGCCAAGAGGAAGATAGCACTTCCCTGCAGACCCCTCCTCAGATCCTCTGAGCTCTGTTCACCCCCACGTTGTGGTGCTTAGCAGACTCCAAACGATCCCTGCAAATGACTATGTAGTCCAGGAGCACAAGGACTTCAAGCTGTTGGTTTCTGCTTCCCTAGCACCCAGGATGGCATTCAAAGAAAACCTTGGAATTTTGATTAAGTACTGAAAAGGGAAAATTGGGAGAAATAGGATATGGTTAGGGATCGAGGAAAAAAGGGGCAATGCTGGTCTTTAGAGCCACAGATGAGTTTGATGGCCATGTGTAGTGTTACATGCTTGTAAACCCAGCACTTGAGAGGCAGAAGCAGGTGGGTTCCAGGCCAGCTTGGTCACCATAGTGAGTACTAGGCCAGCCAAGTTTGCAGAGTGAGACTCTTGTCTCAAAAACGGTGGGGGTTGGGGCAAGTGGTGAAAAATGTAAGTAGCTATGAAGTTTATATAGTCTGAGATAATGAAAAAATGAAACAATTGTCCTTGTATTAAGTCTCTAAATGTTGGGTTATACAATGACAGAAGTGGAAACTGGCCTTTGTGTGGAGAAGTAACATCTACTAGACCAGTGGTTCTCAAAGTTCCTAATGCTGCAACCCTTTATTATAGTTCTTTGTGGTGTGGTGATCCCTAACCATAAAATTATTTTCGTGGCTACTTAATTATTGTAATTTTGCTACAGTTGTGTAGCAATGTAATGTAAATATCTACTATTTCTGATGGTCTTAGGCAACCACTATTAAAGAATTGTTCGACCCCCCAAAGGGGTCATGACCCACAGGTTGAGAACCACTGGGCTAGCCACAGCTTACAGTGACCTCTCCTGCCCCTGTTATTCTGTGTCGTTTTTAGGCCACACAAGTTGAGTCCTGCTATGGAAAGGCCTATTTTATTTCTTTGGCAAATTTTCTTCTTCCTGTTTAAAAAATCTTTTTATTACTCGTCTATATGTGCTGTGTGTGATGTATGATGTGTGTATGAATGTGGGCACACAAGTGCCATAATATGTGGGTGGAGGCCAGAGGACAATTTTGGGGAATCAGTTCTCTGCCCCCACTAGCTATCAAACTCGGGTCAAACAGCAAGTAACTTTACCTGCTGGGCCATGTCAGTGGACTTGGAGGAACTTCATCTGCTTTCCAGTGTGCTTCTGGGTGCAGGAAGAGGTGGGTGGGCAGGGAAGCAGAGAATCCAGCAGAAAAGCTTACTCATGGCCCCAGTGACAATGACTCCAAGGGAGACAGGCAGAAGAGGGCACAACGGTGGCCATCTGAGTAGTGGTTGCCCATATGGTCCTCCACTCAAGCCAAACTTAGGGCAGGAACGACAAGACCAACCCCAGTCCTCTGCCACTGACTGCTACTTACTACATATTTATCCAGAAAAGCAAACATACCTTCCATGCATGCTTTGGACAAAGCAGTTTGTTTTGTTTCTCTTTGGGGTCTTGAGACATGTGTGGTTGTCCGTGCTTAGAACTGCCTGCTGTATGTTGGCAGGTCCAGGATCCTGTCTTGGGGATACCAAGACCACTGTGAGCTGACTCTAGAGTCAGCTCAGTCCTCCCATAGACATCTCCTCTCCTCCTGTCCAGTCTCTGTCACCCACACAGCCTGTTGCCTGCTGCCTCTGTGAAGGGAGCTCTTTGTGTCTCTCACAATAGGCCCTAGTCATGTTCTATTTTTAATAGATTTTAAATGCCTGTTCTGCAAAGGAAAAGTCCCTGTTTAAAAAAAAAAAAAAAAAAGTTAAAAAAAAAAAAAAAAAAAAAGCGAAAAGAAAAAAAGGCTGGAATCTCACCCAGGGCCTGTGACACAATGTATTCTGGACCAGGGACAGTGGCAGGTAGAAAACTCATCCTTGCAAGTCCCTGAATCCTGTGGTGTGGTAAACTGAGTAGAACCTGTTCGTTTATGTTGCACCACCCCAGGTGGCCTGATACCTGCCTCTGTCCTGTCCCCGAAGGTGACTAAAGGAACTGAAAAAAAGGAAGGTGCTGACTAGACCTCACCTAGGTGGAAGCCACATGCTACCACAGGAAATTGTCTGTGTCTGTGCATAAGGACAAGTGGAGAGAAAGCCTCCCTTCCCTTGATGTCATTGCCCCAATGTGTTCTGCTGAAAGATGAGGTCAACTCAGCCATGCTTGGTGGCCACTGCTGTGGGCATGGTGTAAGCCTGTGCCCTTTCTCGCCCCTGCCTCTATGTCGGGGTCCTCTCTGAGCCTTTACTTCCTCCCACTCCTAACCCGACTTGTATGTTCCTTGCAGTTCTTTCCCTATGGAGATGCCTCCAAGTTCGCGCAGCACGCCTTCCGCACCTTCGACAAGAACGGTGATGGCACCATCGACTTCCGAGAGTTCATCTGTGCCCTGTCCATCACCTCCAGGGGCAGCTTTGAGCAGAAATTGAACTGGGCTTTCAACATGTACGACCTGGATGGTGACGGCAAGATCACCCGGGTAGAGATGCTGGAGATCATTGAGGTGGGTCTTTGAGAAGGGACACAAGGTAGTGGGAAGGGAAGTCCCCCAGAGCCATCCTGGGCAGGTATCCCTAGAGCTGTTTTTCTCACTCTCTGGGAGCTCCCGCTAGTTACACACCAGGTTTTGGTTTCTCCCACATGGTCCCCACTGTAGTTCAAGGGATGTCAGTCACAGAACCAGAGGCAGGCCCTTCCTGTCATCTAAAACTGGTGCTTCAGCCAGCCACTCACTCAGTACAAGGTCTTCAACCAAAAAATGGGCTTTCTGGGAACATAGGATATTTATTTCCAGGGCCAGCTTCCCCAGTTTCTGCTCTATTCCATGGAATCCAGAGATCTTTGCCAGTTGTGTTGGCAGGAATCTACGATTCCTCTGCCCACTGTTCTGGTTTGATCATCACCATTCTCCTTGGGTGCTGCCTCCTGGATGTGCCAGCCTACAGTAAGGTTTTGTTTTGTTTTGTTTTGTTTTGTTTTGTTTTGTTTCTCTTCTGGGGCCTGCACCCAGCTCCCAAATGAATCACACACTGAGTCTTATTATTACTTGTGAATGCCTGGCCTTAGCTTGGCTTGTTTCTAGCCATCTTTTCTTATATTATCCTGTCTACCTTTTGCTCATTGGCCTGGGTCTGGAGGTGTATGGTGGGGAACTGTATTAACCTTCCAGCTCTAGAATGCTGATGCCTGTGCTGCAGCAGGTGTTTTTGCTTACCTTGCTGTTTCTACTGGCTGCTCAAGGGCTTGCTATATGGCAGAGACTCTTACAAGAGCCATATCCATTTTTTTTTCTTTTTCTCAGGTTTCTCAATCCCTGTGTGGAAATTCAGGCCTCAAGGTAGAATGCCAAGATGTACCAGGCTTTTTCTTTGGGGCCACCAACCAACTCTCAAATCATGACACTGAGACTTATTATTAGTTTCGCAATCTTGGCCTAGCTTAGGCTCATTTCTGGGTAGATCTTTTAACTCTTTGATCTGTAACCTGTTTCTCTTTATCAACCTTTTGCCTCAAAGCTTATTACCTTTCTTGCTTCTGTATATCTTACTTTCATTGCTTCTCTATGTCTGGCTGGCATCTGCCTGCCTCGTTCTCTCCCTGTTCTCCTCTAATTCTTCCCTTCCTTTTTCTTTCACAGCCTACATTGCTCCTCCCATTTATTCTCTCTGCATGCCAGCCCTGCCTATCCTTTCTCCTGCTTAGCTATTGGCCTTTTAGCTCTTTCATTAAACCAATCAGGTGCCTTAGGAAGGCAAGGTTAAACAAATGCAATACCATCTTTACATAATTAAACAAATGCAGCATAAGCTAAAGTAACATACCTTTACACAGTTAAAATAATATTCCTCAGCATAAACAAATGTAACACAACTTTACACAGTTAAAATAATGTTCCATGGGGGCTGGAGAGATGGCTCAGAGGTTAAGAGCACTGGCTGCTCTTCCAGAGGTCCAGAGTTCAATTCCCAGAAACCACATGATGGCTTGCAACCATCCGTAATGAGATCTGGTGCCCTCTTCTGGCCTGCAGGGACACATGGAGACAGAACACTGTATACATAATAAATAAATTAATTAATTAAAAAAAATAATGTTCCACAACATGTCCATACCCTCTCAGGCTCAGGTCTAGCCCAACCACATGCTCTCACACTCAGGTCTATGTTCTATGTTGTCACACCTTGGTCAGTTTGACCTCTTGCTCTACTTCTGACTTCCCACCTTGCTCTGAGCTCAGGTAGCCTGCAGCTGTCTTAGTTAGGGTTAATATTGCTATGAAGAGACAGTGTTACCAAGGCAACTTATAGAAGAAGCATTTAATTGGGGGCTTAATTATAGTTTCAGGGGGTGAATTCATGATCATCATGGCTGGAACAAGGCAGTAAGTGGGTAGGCTTGGTGCTGAAGCAATCACTGAGAGCTTACACCTGACCCCTAGGCATGAGCAAGGGGGCCTGATCTGAAACCTCAAAGCCTGTCCCCTGTGACACACCTCTTTCAACAAGGCCACACATGCTAATCCTTCCCAAACAGGCCACCACTAGGGACCAAATGTTCAAATATATGAGCCTTTGGGGGCCATCCTCATTCAAATCTCCATAGCCAGTTTCCCTGCAAGAGCAGCTCACTGACCCAAGGGACAATACTCAGAGAAGTAAATGGACAAGGACAAGCCAGTGAGGTAGATGGCTGATAATGATGGGGGAGGGCTCTGTAGGAGAAAGGGGGCCTGAAAAGCCCATTACAGAACAGTGTACCTAGCAGAGTGATAGGGATGTGACTGACAGGTCCACACAGGGAGACACACTAAACACATATTTCTTCCTGCTAGAACACACTTTGTCCTCATAAAGATTCGTGGGAAACTTGCTGATGCATGCTGGGAATGTGACACATGATGTACAGGTATTCTGCAGGTTATCCCATGGCGTGGTAGGGTTTAGTCTGAGGTTTGGCATACCCTCTCGGATCTGTACTGACATAGAGTGTAGGAGTTATTGGAACTTGCCTTTCTCAGGTGTCATATTCTCAGATACTACCAATGAGACCCCAGCCCTACCATATCAGACTTGTTGCTGAGGTCCCCAGATGCCATCTCTTGTGTTTATATTTGCTATAATCTTGACTTTATTAATATGACACTTATCTTCCTGGCTGCTTCGTGTCTTTTGCCTCATCAGAAACCTTTTGGTTTCATCTTTTAAAGGACAGAGGGACATTGCAGCTACAAGCTGTCTCTTTTTAAATCTGCAAGCACAGAGAACAGACTTGTGTTTTTCCCTTGAGTACACTCAAGCTATTGGGCTAACCTGGAACCTGTCTACAAATGTAATGTAACTTCTGTAGCTTTTAAAAACCTGAAATCCTTAGAGTTGTTTGGTTTTTGTTTGTTTGTTTGTTTGGGTTTTTTTTCGTCATAGATCAACACAATTGAGCTGTGCTTTGTCTTTATGGATCTGATGTTGCACATACATGAAATCGTGTGACTCTGGTGGTGGTGTCTTGTGTCTGGCAGTATTGGTCTGCCAGACATGTTTCTGCTTCTTGAGGTTTACAAACCAGTTTAAACCTTTACTATAGCCCATTCCTTTTCACAGTTAGTGAGCTATCCCACCATATAGATTTGACTAATTTGAGAGCACTTGTGCTATTCCCATTTGGAGGCTATAAATGTTCGTGCACACACGCTCCTGAAAAATGTGTGCAGCAATGAACACTTACTACTCTAAGGCCTTTTTTCGAGAGAAAACTGTGTCTATCTAGGAAACACGTGTATTGAGAATTCCTTGTGGATAATTAGTTGACCTGGGGGACTCTTCCCACACTGCTCTTCTGCTCATGTTAATATACAGGTCTTTCTGAATGAACTTGTTTGCAAGCTCAGTTTTAATGCTCTCCTGGTCAGACACAACACATTGTGAGACCCTTGTCAGTTGGGATCATTTCACTTTTATTTCTAAATTCCTGAATGCAGTGTGTGTTGACTATCATCCCCCACCCAAAACTCAGAATATCTGAATTGAGATATGTCCTTTTTCTTTCCTGATCCTCTTCCTAACCCGTGACCCTTCATCTTACCTCTGACCTGTTCTTCTTCCACTCTGAAACCTGATAATCACCCCCCAAATTTTCTCCATATAATGGGCCTTGAGATTTACACATATCTGCTTATGTCGTCCTCATTGAAAACCATTCAAGAATTCCACTGGAGTAAATTTAAAATCCTTAACCCCTCTAAAAGAGAATTGTATGGTCTGCCTTTTTTGTCCTCTCTAGTTTCATTCTTTACCAATACCCTCCTTGGTTCTTCCTCTTACTGCCTTCTCACTCAATGTCCCTAGCCCCAGCAAATGAAAGGGATTTTTTTCCACTCAACTAATATTTATTGAAGCCTTATTATGTGACAAATATAGTGCTAAGTCCCAAAGAAGTAAGAAAAACATGGGATTTCTAGTTTCATGGAATGTACTCTCTGGTGAGGAAGACAAAGCAAGTATAGTAATTGTATTAATTAGGGTGCCTATCACTGTGATAAGACACCATGACCAAAAAAGCAACCTGGGGAGGAAAGGGTGTATTTCATCTTACACATCCGGGTAATAGTCCCCCATTGAGGAAAGTCAGAGCAAGAATTGAAGCAGAGCAAAAACATGAGGTATAAACTGACCAGAGGCCACAGAGGAGTGCTGCTCACTGGCCTGTTCCTCAAAGCTGACTCAGCCTGCTTTCTTATACTGCCCAGGAACCAACTGCCCAGAGTTGGCACTGCCCCCTATGTGCTAGGTCCTTCTCATCAACATTAGTCAAGAAAATGGCATAAGGGTAATCTGATGGACATATTTCCTTATATGATGTTCCTCTTTTCAAGTAACTCTAGCTTATGTCAAGTTGACAGGAAACTAGCTAGCACAATAACAAAGCGTGTGTTATATTCCACTGGGGAAAGAGATACAGGTTGCCATGGGGACATAAAGCATGGGAAGTGACCCTCTTATGTGAACGGGAAACTAACTTTGGGGGGATAAACAGGTGCTAATTGGGTGAAGAAAAACAGAGAGAGAGAGCTCTCTGGCTTCCTGGGTTTCTTGTAATGCCACCTACCATGTTCTTTTCTCCAAGGCTATCTACAAAATGGTGGGCACTGTGATCATGATGAAAATGAATGAGGACGGCCTCACGCCTGAACAGCGAGTGGACAAGATTTTCAGCAAGATGGATAAGAACAAAGATGACCAGATTACATTGGATGAATTCAAAGAAGCTGCAAAAAGCGACCCTTCCATTGTATTACTTCTGCAGTGCGACATTCAGAAATGAGCTGATGTCAATGCTATGGACTGCACAGAAGTGTTGATGTCCCATTCAGTCTGCAGCTACACACACACACACACACACACACACACACACACACACACAACACACACAATTGCTTGGACTACCTATAAATGGACTTGCTTCTTGTGTTTGAAACACTTGTGTGCATGAGAATGTCATTTGCTAATGAATTTTACAAGCATATATTATACAACAAAACCAACAACCTGCCACAATGTGATTCGTGTAACATCATTTCATTCAAATACATCTTCCTCCAAAGCCTGGGCAGAAGCGTGCCGCAAAGAGTTCTATGATTTCTTGTACATGTTTTGCTAATGCTTGTGTCTCCTTGATTATATAATGTTAGTAGCACTGAGACTCCCCACGGTAATGTAACTTAATTATGGGCTGTGTCACCACTCTCCTGTAAAATAGCACTGGACAGACATACAGGAGGAGCCCTTGACTCCCTGTCTGGCCCATACACAGCTTGTATTATCAGTGAATATAAATGTACTACATTTGCATGCCTTTTGGGTTTGCCTTAATTCTTACCTCATTTGTACCCTATCAACCTGGAAAGAACTGTTTTGGATGAATGCAGTATAAAACTTAAAAATCCTGCTAAATGATAAACTCATTATGTATATCTATCTATATATCTATAGACACAAAGGTATTATTTATTGAAAGTAAAAACATAAAGGAGTATGTATAAATTTCTGCTTGACATTTCAAAGGCTTCCAGAAGGGTGGCAATAGATGTCCCAAATAAATTTCTAACATTTGATTTAGTTCCCTAATTCTGAATTTATAATTTTCAGCTTGATGTTCATAGTAGTCAGGGGTCAGCTAGCAATGACTTACTAAGTCTACCCTTAAGCATATGTCTTTGGAATTTGAAGAATGAATGACAGGGGGAATAAGTCACTTTCCAACTTCTCATCCAGCCCCTCCCCCAAAGAGGGCAATTAATATGGCATGTAACATTTAAAGAAAACAGACGATTTGTTCATTCTGGAAAAAAAATGCTCACTATGTAACAATAAACTTTATCTCAGTGTGACTTTGGTGCCAACAACGTATTATGTTCTCTACACCTCTAGAGGAACATTTTAGTGGGCAAGAGGGGCCCTCCAAGGTTAGTCAGAAGGAGAAAGCTGCTACTTTTTCATTTTCATGATGGAACACAACTGATCTTTCTGACCCTGGGGAGAAGAAATCTCATCTAGAACTCTAAATCGGGTTGGCATTTTCAGACCATGCCTGGAGTTGAGGCTCTTCACACAGTGCAGTCCACTTGTGTTTCCTGTGATGGGAACCTCTAGATTTGCATTGCATACTAGCTATCAAGCCTTTCAGAGACAGCCATTGTGACCACAAAACCAAACCAAACCAAACCAAGCAAACAAACAAAAAAAATCTCACCAATTTCAATTGAAATGACTTCTGTAGAGCCAGCATCTGCTTAATATCAAACACTGCAACCCTTTTCTTGATTCAAAGCACTTTTTATAAATGCCTCTTTCGCCACTAACCATTTTCCTTTGTCTTAGGACCACTAAATGACACTAGAGTCCAGGATATAATGATTCCATACATCCAATTCATTTCCCAAAGCTTCCTATTTACTCACAGGGCACCAAGACACCTAAATTCTGCCCCAAGAGAGGACACTTCCATGCATGAATAAAAGCTTTAATCCCTGTGCATGGTGAGGGTGAGGAAGAAGCATGGGCAGAGGTCTGTGAGATTCTGCCCTGCCCCCTGCTGTTTCCTCTCACTTAGTAAGGATAGCATGGGTGAACTGGGACGCCACCTGGTTACACTAGGCTCTGGCAAACCATTCCAAACAAATCTTCGTTGACTGCCTATTACACACCCAACATCATGCTTATGTATGAGTGTGTGTGTGAAAACAGCCCATACATGCTCATGAATGTCAAACTCCAAGATACAGAAGCAAAACACAGCAAGGTAAGTGCAAGGGAGAGGGGCGGGATATGGCGGTGGCACTTTCCACAAGGGAGGTAACTTTTGAAGTAAGAGCACCCAGAAGGACCACAGTCCCAGGAAATGAGGGAAAGATATCAGTAACTCATGGAAATTGGACCCTTCACCAGGCCGACTAGTTCTTTTTGTAAGTAAAATGTAGAAGCTGGGTGAACAAATAAAAATCTTATTTGCTTGTTTAGTCCTCATTGCTGTGATTAGTGTAGACTGGCATAGTTGACCCTGTAGAAAAGCCATGTGTGCCCTCTGGGTTAGCATTTCTATTCCAGGTCATATTGTAATATTGTCCTTTCCACCCCAACTTATCCCACCCCACCAGAAGACAAAAGGCAAAAAAATAATAAATAAAACACTCATATTAGGACCTATGAGGACATGTCCCAGGACATCTGTGATGGCTGTATGTGGCATAGGTAGTGGAGTGATAGATAGTGAGTCAATCTACTGGCTTATCATTAGAGGATCAGGTAGGTAGACTATGGAAGATGCCTCAGGTTGAGAGGAGACTGGGTATGCACAGCATGGACATCTTAAATGCTGAGTGGCAGAAAAAGAATAAATACTACTACACAGTATAGTATATATACAATGGAAGGGAACCTACAAAAGGACCAGAGTCACATTAGGTGAATAGTGGGTGGTAGTGGAGGTGGTTTTGTTGCTATTACTATTATTCCATAATAACTCAACCCTCGAATCTAGTAACTTGAAACAGAAGCATTTTATCACCTCATGTGTTGAGTGTTCAGCTGGCTGACACTGGCCTGGAGTCTATGATATACTTGCACTTATTTAATAGATGGGATGGAAATGGGCCCCTGGGCCAGGGATGGCTGAACCTAAAGACTTTTCTTCATAGACTGGTTTGTGTTTCTTTATAACATGGTAGCCTGGCAGCAGCTAACATTATTTACAAGGTGATCTCAGCTCCAGCACAACTGACATCTTTTCCATGTCACTTCTACTGGAGTTACTGATTCCAAGAGAGCCACATCCTCTCTTCCTTTAGGTGAAGTAAAGTTTTTGGAGAACATACAGTACAGGGGCTTTTGTCATCATCTTTAGAATATGACATGCCAGTCTTAACCTGTGGCCACAGCTCACATCCCAGATCCCATGTGAAATCTCTCCCAAGATTCTGTAAGAGCTTCATGTCATAATGATTTTCAGATTAGCTTGAGGCCTGGTGTCTCATGACCTAAAGGTCCCTTGGGTGCAGCACACTGAGTACTTACTGTCTTAGTTAGGGTTTCTATTGCTGTGAAGAGACAACATGACCATGGCACCTCTTATAAAGGAAAACATTTAATTGGGATGGCTTACAGTTAGTCCATTATCATGGTGGGGAGCATAGTGGCTTGGAGTATGTCAGCATGCTGGAGAATGAGCTAAGAATTCTACATTTTTTTTTTAAAATTTGGACTTATTTTATGTGTATTGGCATTTTACCTGCCTATATGTCTATGTACCACATGTGTGAGTTATGGACAGTTGTGAGCCACTATGTGGATACTGGGAATTGAACCTGATTTCTCTGGAAGAGCAGTCAGTGCTGTTAACCACTTAGCCACCTCTCCAGCCCCTAGAATTCCACATCTTGATCCAAAGGCAGCAACAGGAAGTGAACTGAAATACTGGGCATGGCTTGAACATATGAGACCTCAAAGTCCACCTCCTGGCACACTTCCTTAAACAAGGCCACACCTTCCAGTGCTGCCACTCCCTGAGTTTATGGTGGCCAATTACATTAAAACTACCACAAGTATCATTCATTTTTTTGTTTTTTTCTTTGTTTTTTTTCTTTTCTTCTGAGACAGGGTTTCTATGTGTGGCCTTGGCCATTTTGAAACTCCCTCTGTAGATCAGGCTGGCCTCAAACTCAGAGATCCACCTGCCTCTGCTTCTCAAGTGCTAGAATTAAGTCTCCTGTACCAACAGGATAATTATCTCCCCTCACACAAAACATGAAATGGTGATCTAGTCTTAGAACCATTGCAATAAACACATCAAGTGGGAAAGAAAAAGCACACAGCTTTTTAAGCCAAGGGTAACTCTAAAGTCCAGCTAGATATATCTTGGCAAGCTTGATAGAGGCTCCAGCCTATTGTCTACATGTAAAATCTTAGTTTTAACAAGACACAATTCTTTTCAAAACTTTTTTTATATTGTCTTTTCTGTGTATGATGTATGTATAGTGTGCCTGGTGCCCACAGAGACCATGTGTTGAGTCGCCTGGAACTGGAGTTACAGGCAATTGTGAGCTGTAATGAGGGTGCCAGGAATTGATCTCCGGCCCTAATTACTGAGCCACCTCTCCTGCCCCAGTGTGTTGATTAACAACTTACAAATCACACTGTCTTGGAAGAGGTTCACTGTGAGACTGGTATGGAATGAAACCGTAATAGTACTAACAGTCCTATCATTCACAGGTAAACACCCAGGAAAGCCTTAGAAGAAAGCTTTCATTTGATGGGGGAATGAATGTATGTGTGTGTGTGTGTGTGTGTGTGTGTGTGTGTGTCTGTCTGTCTGTCTGTCTGTCTGTCTGTCTGTCTGTCTTACTGGTTGATAAATAAAACACTGATTGGCCAATAGGCAGGCAGGAAGCATAGGTGGGGCTACCAGATGAGGAGAATTCTGGGGAGAGGAAGGCAGAGAAGCCACCAGGGAGAGGCCATGTAGCTGCTGAAGGAGTATCATGCCCAATTATGGGTAAGCCACAAATTTGTGGAAATATAGTTTAATAAAAATGAGTTAATAATTAAGAGAGAGCTAGCCAGTAAGAAGCCTAAGCCATTGGCCAAACAGTTTATAAGACTCTGTGTTTATTTGGGACTAAACGGCAGCGGGACCCGGTGGGAAAGAAACTCTGTCTACATTTATTGGGGGGGGGGGCAGGGTTCAAGACAGGGTTTCTTTGTACAGCTCTGGCTGTCCTGGAACTAGCTCTGTAGACCAGGCTGGCCTCGAACTCACAGGACTTAAAAGCCTGTGCCACCACTGCCAGCCAGAAAGTTTTTTGCCTGCAGAAGCCTTAAACACCC